GTTCCTCTGTGTTGCTGTGGTGCTCGGTGAATCAGCGCCCTGGGCATGTTTTGCTGTGTGCTGGGTAAGTACATTAGCATTACCCCCCTCTGGCTTTGAGAGAGTACAAACTGTGGTATCGTGGGGTCTTCAGGGACAACCCATAAATGATTCACACGCTGTTTTTAAGATGTAGGAGGTGTGGAGTGACATCTGCGATGAAGCTGAGGTCAGACAGAAGGATTGGGTGGTAGGTGGGGTGAGTGGTGGTAAAAAAAAAAAAACAAACAAAACAAGAGACAAAGTAAAAGTAAAAATAAAACTGGTCTGACAAGAGGAGTCAGACGCCTACGTGTTCGCAATGTCGTTTGTCGACTTTTGTCGGGCTTGTGAGATTGGATGTGCCAGATCTCGGGGTTTTGGTTGGGTGGTGACCATGGTCCACCGTGTGATGCGCCTTCTTGGTAAGGGCATCTGTCTGGTCATTCAGGTCCTTGTCAGTGCCTAAAAGTTTGAAATGTTCTCATCTTTTTTCAGTAGACGACCATGATATGGTTGTCGGTGTTGTGGTCGCCTACTTGGGAAAAGGAAAAAGTATTGCTGTTTCACAACCTTGTGGTTGGCAGTTCTGAAGCCCTTTGTTTCCACCCTGGGGGTAGAACGTGAAACAGAGTCTAGCAAGTTGGAGTCTGTGCAGCAAAGTGCACTCTGATGTCATGGGCTGCTGTGCTTTGAAGGGTTACAATGATGACTGCCATTTCTGCATACTGCGATGGTTGTGGGAGCATCCATCGACACGGGCAGTGGGTATACCTTGGCACGCATTCTCATCCCAGTACTTGGAGCACTTGAATGCCAGGTTGGCAGAGGTGGCTGGGGTTCATCCACTACGGCATCACAGATGGTCTGTCAGTTGTACAGTCTTGGTAAACAGCTAGGCCGTTGCCCAGCGTGGATTTGTGGCTTAAGATGTAATGCGTTTCAATGCAGTGGCCCTGTGGGGCCATCGGTCACATGGTTGTAATGGCGTTAGTCTTTATGCCATCCCGGATGTGCTGACTGTTCAGTAACATGACAAGTTGGTGGCAGGTGTCTATGATGGCTTTTGTGCTTCAAAGAAGTTGGAGACTAGCTGTTGAAATGGCACCCACTGTGCAGAGTGATGTTGTTACACAGTCTTAGTATTTGCCTTCTGGCGCAAGGAGTGTTTTACTTGTATATGCCCAGACGTTGTCTTAAGTCAGTCGTGGCCAGCTGTTGACCTTCCGTCAGACTGAAGGACAGCCCTTTTTGAACAGGGTGGTCACGGGTCTAGAAGTCTTTGAAAAGTTCTTAATGACATGTCTTAAGTAGTTGCACCCACTTAGGGAGCTGCTCAGTTCGGAGACCTTGCTAGGCGGTAGTCTTTGCGCTAGCCACAGTCAACTGTTTTAGGACATGGTCTGTCTCCTTTGAGTGGCCAGACACGATGTTACTTTCATGAGGATGTCATCAACGTAGATGAGGTTGCCTCTAACATTAGCATCGGGATATACTTTGTTCAGTGGGGTGTTGCTTTCGGCTGGTGAGTTGGCCTAGCCGACAGGGCACCTCATGATCGTTTAGTGTCTGTCGTTCAAGGTGAAAGCTAGCTTATGCTGGTCATTTGGATGTACAGGTATTGTCCAAAAGGCGGGGACCACATCAAGCGTTGAGAAGATGGTTGGTCCTTGAATTCTGGGCACTTCCTGTTCCAGTGGTGTTATTGGCCCTCGTGACATTGGCATTTGCTGATTTAGCTTTCTATAGTCAGGCACCCTTTGACGTTTGGCTTGAGGACGGGCCAGATGGGTGCCGAGTAGATGTTGTTGCATTGACAGATGTCCTTTTTCCACCATGGAGTTGGATATTTCCACGTGAAGGTCAGTGGGACTTGCAGTCTAAAGAGTCTTTAATGAGGGCACCTTTGTAGTCATACAGGATGTGCTGACGTTTGTCGCTTGACATCATCCTGCGTGGCCTCAGCATGTCCGTTTTGTTGAGGAAAGTGCCATGTCTTCATCCATGTTAGTGATGGGGTGACAAGTGGCTGGAAAACAGTAGCAAGGAGTTAGTCCTCGGTTGGCTCACTTCTGCATACCTGTTCTTTGTTTATTGGTAAGACAGACGTGAGTGTGACGAGCTTGAATGAAACAGTATAGTCTGTGTTTTCTAAGCTCCCCTCTGGTGTCATTGCATGTAGGGTGAGGCCAATAATTGGCCCAAGAGTTCAAAGTCATGGAATTCGTAGCTGACCAATCGTCCCAGTCGGTAGTCTTTGGGGATTTTTATGTCAGTTGCCATGCAGCTATTACACAGGACATATACTGTTCATGAGGGCAGTTCAATTTAGGGTATGGCTTCCAGGTTGAGGCCCAGTTTTATGCCTTCTGTTGATGGTTGGAAGAACAACCCCCTGTTTGGTTTAGAGTTCCGCCTTTCATATGGAGAGCCATATAGAGCACCTGTTTGTATAGGCTGGCACCACAGAGTCTTGTTTGCTGATGAAGGAGCAGACCTCTGGCATGGTCTAGCCTGAGTGGGGCTTCTTGAGGGTGACAGCCATAGATGTTGGCTGTGAAAAGTGTGGGTGCCTATATATATGTCTGAAGATGTATCAGGCTATTCGCTCCAATGTGAACACCGTGCGGCGGGGCCGTGAGAGTTAGGAAGGGATGGGTCAACCATCCACTGTTCCGGTTCAAGTTCAGTGCGTAAATGCTGTTGGCAGTTGTCATGTGTGAGAGTTCAGCATTTGGATAGTAGCATGTATGCTTGGTAGTTGAACACAGGTCTGGGGTGTGTTCAGGCGGAGTGTCGCACAGTGCGAGACTGATGGTTGTTGGGTTATCTGCCCATAAGGCAAGTACAGTGTCTTTCACAGTCCAGATATTCACCATTGAGCCCTTTGAGGCCTGGGGCAGCAAGCGTTGGGGTTGCTAGCAGGTTGAAGGCTGCAGAGTAGCGACCTTGCCCCCATCTCTGTTGCTGAGTTTGGGTTCTCGCGGGTTCCAGCAGTTTCCCGCGACCTAGGTGACCTGAAAGTCTGTTGGGGTTGACCTGACGGCTGTGAGAAAAAGTTCTCGCACTTGGGCCCAGATTTTGAGAGGTTTAAAGTTCAAAAGAGGTTCAAACATATCCAGCGGATCTTTACCAATCAGCAGCAGGTATGTGCCCATTGGCGACGGGTACACAGGGTTCACTGCAGTCATGGGTACAATAGTTACTTGAATTGGAGCGATATATGTAAGTTTAACCTCAGTTTGGCTGTATGATTTGCACCAACAGCCTGTCTTGTTGGCATTTAAGTGTTCGGTTTAGTCTCTGAGCTCTTGCTTTGAGTTACTCAAACAGGGAAGATGACTTTAATGTGAGGTCTGCTCCCGTGCTGACCAGCGTTTCTCGTCTTTCTTTCATCTCCACAGTTACAGCCAAGTAGCACGTCGTCGCCACGCCATCTCGGTCAGGTTCCCCAAGAGTTGAAGTGCAGGGGCCTGAGCAGTTGTTTGTACGCAGGTGTGGCTGTGGCTCAGGAGGTAAACAGACAACCAGAACAGTGTTTTCTGGTACCTGAGGTTGCATGCATGGTGGCACTGGCTGCTGCTTGGGGGAAGCGTAATGCTGTAGTTAGATACACAGTCTTTAGCTTGTGTTGTACTCGCAGTACTCTGCAGGGATGGAGCAGAAGGCAGGTGTTCAGGGGGGGTAAATGGTTTTGGACCCCCTCTAGTCATAGTCTGGCTTGACTTCTTGTAGGGTCCCCTTCAAGTTTTTCAGCAGTTCTGCTGCTCATGACGCCACTGTGCTGTCGTTTGGTGTCAGGTTTTCACATTTGGCTTTCTTTGGCATGTAACGTGCTGGATGCTGGTTGCTTGAGCTCCTAGCTACTGCAGGTTGGCGTTCCTTGGTTGCTGTTAGGCTCTTTTTGGGCTGCTTGTGGAGAATGGCTTGTCCCAGTGTGTCTCTGAGCATCCTGTCTAGTGTTGGGACATGCGCCTTCCTGGCGGTGCTGTCCTCTGCTGGCAGAGTGAGGCTTTAACTCACTGTTGAAAGTCTTGCGGCTGGGAAACAGTAGCGTGCCTTTTAAAGTCAACTCCGGATGAGATTCTGAGACAGGGTAGCTTGTAAGTGTTTGACAGTCTTTTAAAGCAGTCTTTGTTTTAAACAGATTTTATGAGCCAAACTCTGTTGGGTGGTCAGGGTGTGGGGGCAGGGCATTGCCCGATTGCGGACTCACCACAGAAGCATGTTTTTGGGAGAGAGAGGATCTGTAAGGTGAAATCCTCCTCCGTCCGTGGCTCATTTCCTTTCTCGCAGTAGGGCTGGTGTAGTCGACTGCAGTATGCCTGTGAGGTCTCGTGGCTGTTCTGAGACCCATGGCAACAATCAGTCTTTACTCCGACACGGGGTCAGTTAAAACACTCTAGTAAGAGCTTTTGCATCGGCTCGTAATCTGCTTTGATGGCACGGGGCTGTTGATTCAGGAAACTTCTTGCCTCACGACTCAAAGTAATTCTTAGCAGATATAAAATCCATGAGGACCTAATGAATCCATCAGATCTTTGATGTAAATCATAGGTCAATTTTTCCAGTGGTAGAAGTCTGGTTGCCTGACTCAGCCACATATTGACTGGAGGTATCTGAGCAGTTGACCATAATAATATACATTTTTTGGCCAAGTATATGCAAAAATTTAATTTATCATAAAAATGTATCATAAAATTGATATTTTACAAGCTCTTAATGTCATTTAATTTAATAATTTTATTTTAATATAGAGTTCCTCAAATCGTTATATGTTGTAAGCAGTTAGGCATACAATAATGCTCTTAATTTACAACACTGATTGATTTTAGAGGCATGCATACATACTGTACATATCTATGTATTAAAAAAAAGAGACAACAATTTAGTTGTAGAATTTTTTTTACAGATTTTATTACATGCTTTAGATTCAGGGTTAAGGTCATCCTCTTCTGGATTACAGTAAAAGAAAATCCACAGTCAATGTCATACTCATCAGCTGGAGCTTTATTTAAAAAAAATGTATGTTCTCTGCTCCAGCCAAAACGTGCAGATACCTTGCAGGTCTCTAGCTTGCACTCTTGTATTGTTGTTTATTTTGCAGTTATTTTGTTGCTTTCTGAGAAGGATGATCAAGAAACCTTTCAACCCCTCTTCGTTTAGGCCACATGTCGAATCTTAAAAGAAGAACACAACAACATTAAAATATATTAACATCCTTTGGACTGGGTAAGCTTATGCTTAAGTTTGTGCCAAATAATACAAATACATACTTTTCAGTAGCAAACAAGCAGGAAAGTTCTTTGAAGGAACCAGGATGAGTTGAAAGGTATTTATAGTGGTTGGCCATCTCTGCCACAATAATCCTCTGATTCTCCTGAAGAATCCTTACAAGCAGGATGATGTTGAACACCCTCCTCTTTGTTGCTGGATCGAAACATATTCATAAAAAGAAAGTTGTATTTAAGGGATTATACGTCAATTTTTAAAGAATCAAGACTGACAGAAGTCTAGTGTACATACCATGCCATATGACAAAGACATCCACATCACTTCTGTTTTTTTGTTTTCTTTGCTTCTGCTACTGAAAAAATGACAATAATAGTAACACTTACAATTTTTCATGACTACATGTAATATTAATAATAATTTCCTCACCTGACCACTCCTCTACATCACAGACCAAAGTCTTCCAACTGGTTTCCGGTCACTGCCAGTTCCATGGATTCTGTTTTGCAACTTGCTTTGCAGAGCTGTTGTGGTCTACAGTGATAAGCAATCAAAAAAATAATAATACTAATCAAATAGGTTGCAGAACAACTAAAAAAAAAAAATACTACTGGATATTGTTACCTTCTGATATCAACAGGTCAGCAAGATGGCCAAATTGTTGAACATCTGCTAATTCCAGCACATGACCATGATAGTTACAGTAGCATGTCTGGTCACTGCAATCCTATAGAAGAAATATTGCACTGTTCAACCTCTTTCCCAAGAGTAAAACCACACATATCCTTGTATGCCTCACTCCATTTCACCTGGTTAAAAAAACAAACAAACAAATAAGTAAACCAATAAGTTTTGGCATTTACCTGTAGATCAGTTTAAGATAATCATATAGCTCATCTATCTTAGATTTAAACTCATGTGCTTAGGCATGAAACACACTAAAATCATGGGGTTAAAGATGGTGCTGAAACTTTGGACAGCTTTTTGCAACTCTTTGGAGGTAGTGTCATTAGTTAATGTAGTACACAAATCATCCTGTCAATCCTTAATCCTTAGCTGTAAATACACCTTCAAAAATGCCAGTGTTTGAAAAAGGAATGAATCAGTATAGAACAAGTGCATAACAGTTTATATCTTCTAATCTAATTTTACTAGGTGAACATCAAAGAGCTGTTTTCTTGTTAATTCCCAGCCGGCACACGACCGACCTTCAACGTTGAAATATGGTTGAAATAAGGGTCAGATGTGTTTTGAACGTTGAAATAATGTTGATAGAACGTTTAATGTTAAACGGTTGAAAAACAGCCCGCATATGACAAGGCTTCAACGTTAAAATGTGGTTGAAAATATGTCAGTTGTTGCTTTAATGTTGAAACAATGTTGAATGATAAATGATTGAAAAAAGTTACAGAAATCCTTGTACAAATCAACGTTGACATTTTTTTATCATGATCTGTATGTTGAACTAACGTCATGGCTTCACCCAATATTCAACATGTTTCGTTACCATGGTATCATCGGAGGACTCGGCGCACGCGGCCACGCGCAGTGCTTCACTTAATTATGAACACCTGACCTGCAGTGCAGCAGAATTCAGATGGTAAGCGTGTTTTTTGATGCTTTAAAGTTTTATTTACCCCCCGATTTTGTTTTACACACAGTTTATCTTAAACGTGACTTTTGAGGTGTAGTGTTTCGAATTTTGAAGCATTTAAAACTTTCCAGTTTGGTTTTTAGTCTTGTTTGCGCTCCGGTGACGCAGCAGCTAACCTCGGGGTAATGTCACATGTTTAACGTTAGTCTAAATGAGCGTTTTTATGGCGAATTCAAAGCGATAAACTCCAAACGCAGTTTAAAGTTACTGAGCAACGTTATAAAACAATATCTTTTTTATATACGCTGTATAATTAGTGTTATTATTACAAAGTGAACTGGGGGCTGTTCCAGAAAGCAGGTTATGTGACATACCCGGGTAAGTAGGTGGATAACCTCAGCTTTGGTTCCAAAATCGGAGGTAACTTCTGGGTATGTTAAGTAGCCATAGCAACTTACTCTCTGAAGATAACCTGCTCCAGAGCAGGTTATCTTCAGAGAGTAAGTTGCTATGTTCCAAAGTTTGTCTTTTTCAGAGAGTTTACTGAGCATTGCGTGCTCTTTTGATGAGAATATTTATGGATGTGGACGCACAGATACAAGTTTTTTCGTTGTGAGAGGGTTATAAGTGCATAGTTTTTTTATAACCAAATTTATAATGTTAATGTATTTAACAAACCTTTTTGAAATCAAATGTGACTGTGTTTTCTTACCATAAAAAAGATTCAGTGCAGCTCTGTATTGGCGTCAGGGCATTTTAGGCAACTGTACAATGTGGCAGCATGATCACCTGTACAGTATGCCTGTCGGCTGGCACTGAACTGTTTTTTTACACTTTTGTACAGTTACTTGGTCATAAATCACTGCGTATCATTACACAGTTGATTTAGAGCACGGCAATAGTGTAGTGGACAGTGCATTGTTAATGATCAACGGAGCTCACAGCGGGGCGAGTTCAAATCTAGTAGGAAAATATATCTATAATTTAAGATGTAGGACGTCGTTCGGTACAACTTAATTTTCTGTCCTCAATCTTTTGGTGTTTCAACTATTAAACTCGTTACTGCTTCCACTTACCAGCTCATATGTGATGACCCCACCTCATCACTATATGTTAAGGCTAAATGGCTGATTTTCAGGATGTAATGATTCAAGTGTATAATACAAATATAGTAAAAAAAAATAATAAAAAAACATAAAGCAAATGTTGCTGGAGGACAAAAGATACCCTTTTCTGCCTTATACAATGACACCCTACCTGCAGCCTGACCCAGAGGAAATCTCAGTGACCCAAGTTGACAAAAGAGATGGAAGAGTGCTGAGTAATGTAATTTGTCAAAAAACTATGTTTAATCAAATATTTTGGTCTGTTAATTTCTTAATTTCCTGAAATAAAATGAATGATTTTTTTACACTGCTTTATACACGCACCTTTCAACGTGTAACATATTTTTTTCATATACATTTCTCACCTTAAGGTGATGCTCATGTGACTTTATTTATATTTGAAGATGGACCTTATACAGCTACTTTAGAATTTAAATATATATATATATATATATATATATATATATATATATATATATATATATATAAAGATTTTGTGATCCAAGAGTAATATTTAAATATTGAAAAGTGCAGACAAATTCTTACACTGCTTGTTAGTTGAAGCAGAAGGAACTTCGTCTGCATGCAAAATAAAAAGCATAAAAAGAACCTAAAGCTACCTGACAACAATCACTTACAACAGTGACAGATTGTGTGGTTTAAGTCAAAAACTCAACCACTGATGAGCCTTTATTAAAGGACAAAGCAGCTCCTCTAACTGGTGGCCCACAGCAGATAGACAGACCTCTTTCTATTAGCTACATGACAGAAAGAATATTCAAGAGTGTTAATACAGAGCTCCAGTAATTAAATCTTACCTTTTAGGAGAATGTTTCTGTGTTTAATAACTTTGGACAGAGTTCTAGCTCCAGAAAGATTACAATTTCTATAAGCCTTATTAGTCAATACACATGGCCTTAAGAAATTAATGGCAAGAAAAATAAATGCATGAATGGTTACACAACATACTCAAAAGGATGTTAAAGAGAAGTTTAATTGTTGATTACAATGAATAAAATGGAGGGTGGCATGTGTAATTTAATCAACTAACAATAATGCACGCGCATTAACCCGCGGTTATCTTCAGGAGGTTAATTTAACTAACTCTTACCACCTGTTTTGGAACCAACATACTCGCGGTAAGCAGGTTTTGGGTAAATCAACCGAGAGTTCAGGGTTTAGCAGATGGTAAGTTAACCCAGCTTTCTGGAATACCCCCCTGCTGTCGTTTCACTGTTGTTGTTTTTGGTTTTAGAGATGTAACTTACTCCAGAGACGCACTAACTTGCATAGCATTGAATGGAAAAGGCTTTGTCCATCTGTTAAATCTTCTTGGTGCTTTGGTTGGTGATATTCTCTTTCTAATCTGTTTGTTTATTGATTGCTAGGCTATGTTGTGATATTATATTGTTATATTGATATTATTATTGTAATGTCATGTTGTGATTTTATACTATGTGACAGTATTGGGGAACAAATATGTATTTAGTGACAAATTAATGCTTAAATTACACTTTGGATAGTAGCAGATAAGAGGTGTAATGGGTTTTAACTATCTGGGTTTTCTGGAAGGTCCAGTTGAGGGCATCAAGAACACGCAGATGGCCTAAACCTGTGTCAGCCTGGACAGACTGCAGTTCTGCTACTCCACGCCAAGGCTTTTGTATGGATGTCTGACTACTACTGTGTTCTCTAAAGGTATTACTGGAGCAAAACAACAGCACCCGTTACAGTAAAATTTGTATTCATAAAAATAGTGATACATGTGTAGCAGGTCCAGTACATGTGATGTCATTGAGAAGTTGTTATTAAATGTCATTAAAACAAATAAATAAACATGCTATTTAAATAAATCTGAATATTAAAAACTTGAGGATTAAGATGACAAATGAAATGCATAACCTGTCTTGCGAAAAGGGTCTACTTAAGAATATTGGTGTTTTCCAACTGAAAGGGATAGTTCTCCCAAGAATGAAATTTACTCACATTTTACTCTCCAAGTGGTTTAAAACCATTATGAGTTTATTCTGTTGAACACAAAAGAGGCTTTTCTGAAAAAAAAAAAACGAAAAACCTGTAAACATTGACCTCCATAGTTGAAAAAAATACTATAGAAGTCAATGCTTATAGATTTCCAGCTTTCTTCAAAATATCTTTTTTTGTGTTCAACGTGGTCAGTAAATGACGACAGAATACAAATTTTGAACTATCCCTTAAATTCTCTGTCCTACACGCAGACTTTTGCAGAAGTGCTGCTCCTTCTAGAGTTTTTCATCATGTACATGTAATGGTTTTCAACTTGTAATTATTAGATGTGTTGAATGTTTCATGATTCTTTTCTGCAGCCTTTGTTAAAAAAAAAAAAGTTTTTTTTTTTTTTTTCGAGAATCTGAAATTTGAATTCTGGAAAATGCTGGTACCGGTGGTGGCGAAGGGCTTCCTGATGATATTACACCTAATACTTCACTTCTCTTAGTTAGGAATATTCAGATGGATGAGTCAAAATTATTGAGTGTGACGATATTATAGGACAAATTTGGATTTAATAAAAAAATAAATATTTGAATTTCACTTTGTATAATAGCAGATACCAACTTATTTGTAACCTAGTATTTCATTTATTGCAGGTTTTCTGGAAGCTCCAGTTGAGGGCTTCAAGGACAAACCGATGGCCTAAACAAGTGTCAGCCTGGACAGACAGACATCTATTGCAGTTCTGCTACACAAGACCAAACTCTCTGCTTTTGTATGGATGTCTGTTTAGTACGGTGTTCTCTGAAGGTATTACTGGAGCAAAACAACAGCACCCATTACAGTGAAATTTGTATTCATAAATGATAGCGATATTTGTGTAACAGGTCCAGTAAATTTGTCATAAAGGTTAAATCACAGTAAGTACTGTAAAAATAACTTGTTTGCCTTTGCCACAACAGGTCATGGTGTGTGCTACTGCTTGTAGTAAACGCACACGCTGATCTGATGCGGGAGAGATATACGCAAACACATTTGTATTTACTATTTTGTTTTGCCTCACTAAAGTGTTGTTGCAGCTTGGTATGTTCACAGTTGAAATCACTGAAATCACATGGAACGTTTTGACAATGTGTTTTGTGCCTTATCTGGACAATGACCATCTTGGGACCATTGCTGTCTGTAGAGGATGAGGAGCATTTAATCTAAAATATTTTAGTTTGTGTTCTGAAGATTAACAGGTCTCTAGGATGACACAAGTAATTAATAACAGAACCTATATGAACACTTAATGTGACATGTAATAGTGAAATTTATCTACTAGGTGAATAGTCTTACATTCACAAATGTGAGCCATCATTATAAGACCCATGTGAACATGCAATTTTTATGATACTAATAATAACGGAATAACAAACTGCTATTACTGTTGTGTTTGTGAGAGAGAATCAAATCATATATTCAACACATTTTCTTGATGATTTACTGAAATATTTCTCTACATGTTCCACTGTCACAGGTGCTCGGTTTTGCTGCAGTAATGCTAAACACAATAGATGTACTGTATGCAAAAAAATATATATATATATAAATATATATAAAAATATTTAGCATGCAGACCTGCAAAGTGAAGGAGCAATGTCAGGTTTATAGATTATAGCAGGAGTTTTCACTATTGTTAAAGTGAAGCCATTCATTCACAATGAATTGGAATGGCAAACCTCATTATTGATTTTGTAGAATACTCACCTGGTGTTTGAGAGTTATAAATATGTATTTAACTGCTAGACTGATATAGATGTTTTAGTGTTTTACACTTAATTCTTTGTCCCCAGTGCCAGCTTTTACCTCAAGCGTTTCTCTCAACCTATAAAACCTCAAACAGATGTAATGTATTTTACTTGTGATTCTTAGTTGTGAGTGATGTTTTTTTTTTACTGCAGCCACTTTAAAAATGGGTACTTTGTAAACTTTGTAAACAGAATTGTATTTTGGAGACTGTGATGGTTGAAGCGTAGTTTAGTTACTTAGTTTAATTTAGTTATTACCTGTATTTCTGAAGATGGTAACACTACAATAAGGTTGTATTAGTAAGTGTTAATGTATTTACTAACATGAACAAATAACAATAAAGCATCTTTCATATAAAGAAAGTACAGTTCATGTCAGCTCAGTGCATTAATGTTAACAAGCATACATTTTAATTTTAATAGCATTGGGACATATTTCAATTAATTAAATGATTAATAAATGCTGTACAAGTATTTGTTCTTTGTTCATGTTAGTAAACATAAACTAACTTTAACTCATGAAACCTAATTAAAAAGTGACTATTTAATTGTATGCCTTTTTCTGTATTTGAGTGTACAGCATGTATAGTAACCTGCATAGTTTTAATGAACGATGTATGCAGTATGTTGCTGTATATTAATAATAAATGAAATAATAAGATGTGTATTAAATAAATTGATACACAGGCTAAGTTGTGTATTTTTGTCATGTATTTTTATTAGTAAAAATTTGATTGCTATATTTATGGACTTTGTGTTATATGTAATTTCTATTTAACTTACATTGAAATGTATGACGGTGAAACAACGTCACGGTATCAACGTTGATCCAATTTGCAAAATCGAAAGGTAATTCAACCTTCATTTAACGTCTACAAAACGACCACAATTCACCCATGAAGAAGGTAAGAGTGAAACAACGTTGTGATTTCAACGGTGAATCACCGGTGGTGGTCCGACGGTGAAACAACGTCACTATATAAACGTTGATCCAATTTGCAAAATCGAGAGGTAATTCAACGTTGATCCAACCATAGACCTGACGTTGATTCAACATTGAATCACCGTCGAAATGCCGGCTGGGTTTAGTTTTAACACATAAAGTTTAAAGTACCTTGTGCATTCTTGAAATGGTTATGCTTATGGTTCACATCTACTTAAATTGGAAGTATATCTGGTGTGGAAGCAGGACAGATGAAGGGCTCTTCCTTGCAAATACTATCCACCTTGTATTGCACAGACTCCCACTCAAGAATATCTCAGAAAAATGTCTGCTGAGAACTTGGCAGTCCATTAAAAATAATTATACCAACATCTTTTCCACCAATGGAAAGAATATAAAAATATTTTAGGATATATTTATACTTGCATGACCAAATCTGAGATAAAAAAAAGCCATCAGTATGCTTTAGTTCTAATAAAACCAAAATTTTACTCTAGCCCGCTGTCACCTAGGTCTACAGATACAGGGACTAATGTAAACATTAAAGTACACACCAACAGTCACTGGAGCAAGGCCCTCTCACAGTTGGGAAAATTCGAGTTCCTTTGAGCTGTACCAGATAAAAACAACAAAAATTTACATTTATAACAATTCCAAGTTATCCTAAGACTAGTAGACAAGCAGCATAAGACTAAGACTAGTAGACAAGCAGCATAAGCAGTTCTAATTTCCTAAACCCCAATGTGGACAGTTGATGGCCTATAAGGTGTCATACAATCAGACAAAACAAAATACTTTCTGAAAAAAAAAAAAATAGTTGGCCACTATTAACACCCAGAACAAATAGTTTTAAACAGTTAGGTCACAATATTTTGTGAGCTAGCTTATGCTGTAGTTTATAATGTTTTTCATTAACAATAGTAATAGTAAAACGAATGCGTCTCTTTCTGTTATTACAATAGTAGTGAAAGAATAAATGGATTTCATCTCATACAATCATATATGCCTAAACAATGTGGATATTTAATATACATGGAATGAAAAACTTCACTAACCCTTGACTGATTCCAGAGTGGTCTTGGCCTTCCTTACATGGCGGTGCTTCCTGCAGATCACCAAGTTGTCATCAAGACTTGAGCTTATAATTGAGATCCTGATGATCAATCTGAGTATCAAGGTCCTTAAGTTGCTCTTGGAGTTCTGAATCACTCATGGTGATAGGCAGAAACAGACTGAAAGACACAAGAATTAATCAAACAAATACAAATGTGTTAACTGAGATAGAGAGAGAGACAAGTGCAATTTAACATATAGACATGGGTAAAGTGACTTTACTTTTTGCTTATTAGAAATCAAAATTGGATTTTTAAAGTAAACTAAAGAACCTGAAAAGAGCAAAGAAAAAATATTCATATCTGAACAGTGAGCACCTTATAATTTACACACACACACACATATATATATATATATATATATATATATATATATGTGTGTGTGTGTGTGTGTGTGTGTGGGGTAGATTAAGCTGTTTTTTGGTTTAGTGTTGTGTTGTACAATGAATAAAATGTGCTCAGACGGGCAAAATTTCTGCCTTTTTTCCTTTTAAGGCATGGAACATAATTAGTTTTACAATGTACCCTTTAAACCTTTGGAAACACTTGATTTGCTTTAATATTGAAACAGCTATGAATACATTTTTAAACAGGAAAAGATCAAAAGATAATCAGGCCTGACTCAGCATGAATGCTGTTTTTCAGCAGGTTATTTGTATTATTTGTATTATTAGAGTTGCATATTGCATATTATATATAGATTTAGCACGAATTTTATTGTGGAAAACAACAATCTGGTAACACTGTTCCTTATCGTAAAATGTATTTATTGTTCTGAGCTTTACATGACCAACGTTATATGTGAGAAAAATATTTTTTTAATAAATTAACTTGATGTAATTAGATAACGTCGCTAGTTTACAGTACATGCTTTATCAACAAATCGTCTTTATTTGTTTACTTTTTACTTACCTTGTGGAAAACCGCAGTGAACCTTGGGATCGCAACGAACCTTGGGATCGCGAGCATAGACTGTAAAAAATAGATCGCCATATACAATGACCCCAACTTCAATGAAAAATTTCAAATGAGAAAGATCAGCCAAAAACATTTTTAAACTTAGTACTTGAAATGTAATATTTTTTAAAGTAAACAATAAATAATAATAATGAATCAAAGTTTTATTAGGCATAATTACCCTAAACTGGGAAACCGAATATTATTTCCCTCATTAAATATAAAGTAAATGATAACATATTTATAAACACCAACTAATCTCCAATAAAATACAATATGCAGCATTAACATACTATTTAATGTTGACAGTTGAACTCACCGCTGATGCAGTTTGACCAATAGCGGAGTGGCGTTAAACTCACCGTGAAGGGATGTCACGTGGACCGAAGTTTATTCATACAGTAGTTTCGACCCAGTTTACGGATGCTTTTCATGAACAAAATAAAAATTACATATTTTTTAAATAAGAAAACTGCGATAATAGGCGTAAATCAGGTTTTAAAAATCGCCTTGACATCTATTGGTAATTATACGAGCCTCCAGCATCTCCCTATGACGCCTCAGACATAAATGGTCATAGTAACTGGAACAGTGTAGTTCAGTTTTTAGTGTTTAAGTTCAGTTCAGTTCAGTTTAGCTCAGTTCAGTGTGATTTAATCATTACTGAGAGTTCAAACACTGAAGAGCAAATTCATCGATGCGTAGCTCTACCAATCCTGAACCATGCGAGCCAGTGGTGACAGCGGAGAGGGAAAAAAAACTTCACCAGATGGGAGTGAAGAAAAAAAACCTTGAGAGAATCAGACTCAGTTCGGCACGACCATTTTAATTTCTCCGCTGGCCAAAAGTCTTGTGCAGAGCTTCAGTCACCGCGGTGGGCTGGAAGATGGCCTCAGCGAAGACTCGTCTGTCCCTGGAGCGTCGCTGGAATCAGACTCATGTTCTCCACTTCCCATGACCATCAGCGCAGCAGCAGCTCAGGATATGGCCTGGTCCCGGATATGGAAACCTTGGGATCATTTCGTCGCTGGTCTTGGATCCAATCAGTGACTCCGCATAATCTGAGGACCTCGGGATGAGTATCCCCAGGTGAAAATAGAAAATGAAGAAAATTAAAAATTTATTAAAAAAATGAAATCGGCATAAAAGAATTTAAAAGAATAATCATAATAATCCCCTATAGGTATAAAGCAGTACAGGACGGCTTAGAAAAGTAGAAAGAGTGCCTAGTATTCAGGGGCATCTACAAACATTAATGGGTTAGCCCAAAATGTTGTAATTAGATGTGGGATCTATAAATCAATATCTCTGAATTTAGCTTCAGCCTAATACTTGAGCCCTAATGTAAAGTAATACTTTCCCTATAACCTAACCGGTGAGGGAATAAATAAGGCAAGAGGAAAAGATGGAATAAAAATCAAAAGGGAAGAAAATAATGCTATTAATGATAATAGAAAGATTAAAGGCTATTCCCCAAATAGAAAAACCAACAAAATTTAAATTAAATATGACCTAAGTTTAGAACTTTAACTTGCACTTCAAGTTGCACTTCATATCCGGTTAGCCTTGTGCTAAAGTTTGTTAATGTTACAAGACGTGAAGGGTTAGTTTGCTTAAGCTTTAACGGGCGTTAGCCGCTAGCAAGTTGTTACGAGTTGCGCTTCACATCCGGTTAGCCTTGTGCTAACAGTTTGGTAATATTAAGACGCGAAAGGTTAGTTTACTTAAGGCTAGTTATTAGAAGCTAGCAAGTTGTTTGGCCTGTGACGTAAGCCTCCTAAAGGCGGGTCAGATGCTTTGGGGTGGTGGCTATGTCATTCACGCATGCGTGCGTGCGCACAAGTCACATGGACGAGGAGCCAATGAGCGCTCAAGGAGCGGCTTTATTCACAAAGAGCAAAGAGCGAACCACTAAGATTCGCATAAACTGTCATTTCTTATATCATGTTGCATTAAAACTGATTTGTGACATCTGACCTCTACATTTAGACAAACAAACATAAAACGTGAGACGTCTCTCGAGGCAGTGCACATTTGTACACAGATTTGGTCTGGACGAAAATAACTGAAATATGGGAAACTCACATCCATATCAGATTTTTGGTACCATTTAAAAACACGCTAATGATTCTGAGAATTATTTTCGTCAGAAAGCGGTTAATAGGCAAGCTTGCAACTCCCAAATACATTAATTTAGAACCGTCCAGCAGTTCTAAAATTAATTTCGCATGGCGGCGAAGCAAAGAGGTTAAACGTTAGGCAGCTAAACTAACTGTTTGAAACCACAGGAGCAAATAGTCTAGAATTTTTCTAGCTATAAGAAGGCCTTTTAAACGGACAGGATTTGGGGTTTCCAAACTGTCTTACAAGCACTGAGGGAACTGAGGGACTGAGCTTCAGTTAATTTGGTCAAACAAACATGTAATTGTATATGATTCTGCCTCGCGACCGAACAGACTTTCAGATTATGAATATTAATTATCAACAATAACGAATTACTATTAATCAATAACATTCTGGATTAATTTACTGTTAATTTGACCAAACAAACATAACCAGAGCTCTTCCGAGCAGACACGTTAATGATCTATTCATTTAGAAAAGGCAATTATTGCTACTTCTTGTGAAGCAGATTAATCATTCATAAGTTTTAATCAACTTATAACAGCTAGGCAGGGTAATCTGTGTTTCAGTGACTTTTCTGTGAGGCAAACAATGCAATTCATTTGATTATAATGGGATTTATTGACTAGTCAGACAGGTAGCGAACAAACGCATGCATTGATGCGTTGAGTTTGCAATACAGTTCGTAAAAAACGCGATCGCAAACTTTAAACTGAGTTTACTTTGCTGAAAAATAAGAAAACGTGGCTGTAAAGTCCATGCAGCATAGAAGAGCTGCTTGTCCCTCAAAGAGGCCACCTTTGGGGAGTTCTTTGTCCGGACTTCTCTGCAGATGTTGGGGGGCAGAATGGTTATACCTGCGGGTCACGTGACAACCCATTCATCTTTCTTAACCAATGATTTCAGGGCAAAGTTTGAGCGCGAAACCTTCCTTTGTCTCGAGGCTGCTCATATGCAAATTTGAGTGTCCGCCTGCAGCCTGAGGATAATCTTTATTTCAGGGCATTAAAGAATGCAGGCCGTACTGTTTATTATCATGCTCTATGCATCATGTGTTGTAAAATGCCAAGGGCATTCTAACGACACCAAACACTCCACAAGTACATCAACATAATTGTACATCAACATAATCCCCACATTCTTACATCATTGATGCTTTTAAAAGGCCTGAAAGTACAAATGTGTATAGTCTATATGAGGAATTGTACACATTACAAAAGTCAAGTGTAATTAAACAAGAGATTTGGGTTATAAATGTCTTTGTTTAATGTTGAGGAATGTCTTTTGTTTGTGAGCAGAAGGCTGACTAAAGATATGTTTTTCCTCTCTTATCTTATCTGCCATGTTCTATTGAAGTCGGCAGAGAGTGGTTTAGGACAGTTTTGTGAAATGTCCCAAACTCGTTACTTGTCAGCAGGAATAGTCCAGGCCAGACTTTTGGGCTCCAAGTGATCTGAATTGTCCTGAAAATTGATTCCAGACCGTTTTCATGGAATGTTTACCTCCAGCATATGTGTTACAATATATGTTACCAGTTATGTTACATAATATAATAATTCATTTATTTTCTTGTGCCATTTGAATTTCAGGTCCCACTTTATATTAAGTGTCCTTAACTACTATACTGTACTTACATCAGAAAAATAAATACAATGTACTTACTGTGTTTATAATGTATTTGGTTTGTGGTGTGGTAGTTTTGAGGTGGGGTAGAGGTTGGGTTATGGACAGGTTTGGTGGTATGGGTTGGTTTAAGGGTAGGTTAAGGTGTAAGGGATGGTCAACAGTGTATTTACAAATGTAATTACAAAAGTTAATTACAGATGTATTTACATACATGTATTTAATCAAGCATAAGTACACAATAAATACATGTATTTACACAATAAGTACATTGTAACAAACTATTACTTCCTATGTAAGTACATATTAGTTAATTCCACAATATAAAGTGGGACTGAATTTCAAAACAATCAATGCCAATAAAGAAAAAAAATATTTCCATGTTGGATTCTAAGTAGACTTTAAAAAAGGGCCAAAATACAGGCATTGCAGATATGGAAACTGGAAAATTATAATAATAATAATAAAGTATTGAATACCATACCTCTCAACCCTCCCGTTTTTCCGGGGATTGTCCCATATTTTACAGTTCTGTCCCGCTATCATCCCGTAAAGGTAGTTTCTCGTATTTCTCCCGTATTTAGCCGAGCCTCCCTATACACAACCCATACCGCCGAACTACCAGGGGCCACTCCGTTCTTAAATATTTGCATTTACATTTATTCATTTAGCAGACGCTTTTATCCAAAGCGACTTACAAATGAGGACAAGGAAGCAACTTACACAACTATAAGAGCAACAATGAATAAGTGCTATAGGCAAGTTTCGGGTCTGTATGTAAATATGAGTCTGTTCTGTGCTTTCACTTTTTTAGGCGAGAAAATCTAAACAAAAACTAATTGTAGATTGGAGAAATCACTGTATGGGTCGATTAAAGGGGCATACAAATCTTTTTAATAAGCCACCTTTAGGAACCTCAGACCATAATATGATTTTATTGGTTCCTACGTATAAAATCGTTTTTAAACATGAAAAGGCTCAAGTAATAAAAATTAAAGACGGAAGATGCTATGCTGCGTTTAAAAGGATGTATGGAATGTACAGATTGGTCTGTTTTTATGGACTCTGGCTTGGACATTGATGAACTAATAGATGCAGTTTGCAGTTATGTGACATTTTGTGAGGATATGATTATTCCTATGAAATCCTTTAGGAAATTTCCAAATAACAAACCATGGGTTACAAAATCACTTAAGACTCTTATGTTAAAACGTAATAGGGCCTTTAAAGAGGGAGATATTGTTG